CTGCGTCCAAATGGTTGGAAGATAAGGAGGAAGGACAATCAATACTGTATATAGTAAATGTGAGGTAAAGTGTGTCGCCAAGGTAACCGGTTAGAACTCCAAGTGGCGATGAGGTTTTCAAATGTATGGAAAGGGTCTTAAAAAAGGTATTACATTTGACTTCAGGATTCCTGCTTATACCCTGTAACGCTAATAATCAACCAGAAACATGTGATGTATTCAAGAGCATGTATTTAATGGAGAAAGTTGTTCCTCTCTCCTCCTGATGGGCAGTGTTCACCCCTCAGTTCCCTGCATTATCTCTGTTGTGTAAACCGTCTCTGAAACTCTTCCTGCTGTCAGAGAAGTTTCTCCTCCAGCCGAGCGGCTTTGTGCCGCTGTCTGCAGCCTGACGAGTGGGCGCCCACACAATGCATGCTGGGACAGTGGTCACTATGGAGACGTGTGCTTTTGACTTGATAATGTCCGTCTTTCACTGTGAACTGGAAGGGGGGAGAAAAGGGGAAGAGATGCGACGTAATTCACTGCAGATTAATAATTAAATACGTGTGAGAGAGTTTGCACTGCAGCAACTTCTGCTGGGGGAAAATGACCACTTTATGTTTTGAGAACAATGACATTTCTGGCAATTTTCATTAAATCCAGAGACGGGGGATTGAGGATATGTTGCATCACAACGCAGCACAGAGCGTCGATAAGAGCTGCCGGATGCTGAGGGTGAGAGAGAGGGAGGAGGAGGACGTGGGCGAGAGAGAAAAGATGCTGAAAAGAGAGACAAATGAAACTGAAACATTAACTCTGGTTTCTGTTTTTTTTAAGTTAGACACGTAGATTCCCTTGCAAATCATACGTTTTATGAGGCTGCAACTAACAAATGTTTTCATTAGTGTCATATCCCAATTACTTTCTCCATTTTTCTCCTTTCTGTATCAAGTGAAATCCTTCATATTTCACTTGAACATTACTAATAAATGTCTGAATAGATTCATATTCAAAAGATACATTTCTCACTTATCATTTCAAGTACTATATTTGAATACAGTCCAAATCTAAACCTATCCAACATTACTTTAACTAGATTGCCCTGGATGAAGAGGAAAATGTTTGCCCTCCTGACATTAGTTGTTTGTTTTCTGCACTGATTTTCTGAAGCTTAACACCCAGAGGGATTCATATTGTCAGAGGAGCACAGAAACATGGCCGACAGACGCTTGTTCACATCTCTACAGACTCTGGCCGTTTCTCAATGTCGAGTACACCTGCTGCAGAGCCACTTCAAGTATGCTACGTCATCGTGTGGCGCTGAATGCTGGGCATTTGAACAGTCCTTCGGCGCCACTCGATGACGTAGTATACTTGAAATAGTGGCTCTCTACTCGACATTGAGAAACGGCCTCTCTCTCTCCTCTCTACACGACGACATGTTTTTCAGGTCGAGTGTTGCCTCTAACTTCCTCAGTGTCATGCATCTGTCTGTGGCGACTCTGAATGTGCTGCAGCGGCCATCAGCTGATCAACAGAGAAATCCATCGATGTGATGAAGCGATAGTTTGTTTTAAAGCTCAAGCAATCAATATTAAACATAGGGTTGTTTTGAAGTCTGACTCTAAGGGCCTCCCCCCCGGCAAAAAAAACATGTTTCTAAAACACCTTCCCCCCCCATTATCAAAATTATCTTATGGCTGAGTATGTATCGGTTTAACACCTAAAATGTTGTACTACATTTTGAATATGTCCCATTTGGTTCTGGAAACGTTTAAATGTTTCACTCTTTCTTATTCTTAAAGCCATTATCATTAACTCTTAAATGTTAAAATCGTCAACAGATTAAGATAATACCAGCGTTAAAAGAAACCCTCTGTTGAAAAAGTCAAAATGTGAAAGAGGAAGTTGCTCAGCTCGCCGTCCTGACATGACACACTTTCTAAAAACTGGGTGTGTGTCAGTGTGTTGTCATGACTCCATGGCTGGTGTGTGTCCATGTGTTTGTGTGCTTAATTGCTTCTGAATGAGTGCACATTGTGTTAGCGTCACTCAGGCAACACACACANTTGGTACTCCAACTTCTGGCTCCCCTTAAAGTTCCCATGAAGCCCTCTGTATCGCGAATGTCAATGGGGGGGGTGCCAGTGGAGTGCACGCGTCTCAAACAAGCCTAGTTTGTTTACAAAATTGCGGCGCAACTTGGTGGGCGGTACCCTGGAAAGAAATCTCTGCGTGAGAAATACAAGGTGTGGCGTGTGAGCGTGTGAATGGAGTGAAATACGTGTGTCTAACGCCAAATGCGTGAGACTTGAGAGCTCTGCTTTATAGCTTGTTTGATACGTTAGGGTTAGGGGGTTAAACATTTAAAAAATGGTACTTCATTTTAAGCTTGCCTTGTATCATTTTATCATATTAATACCTTTTTGGGATACAACAAAATACAAATCGATATATTGACTCAGCAGTCAATCTTTTCTGTCTGGTCACAGTTTAGTGAACTGAAATTATGACTGGAATGAACAGTATTGTAAACAACAAGTAAAAAATGTCTAGAATTTAAGAATTCACTGAAAGATTGGTGAAACACAAGACTCGAGTGTGACTGTCTCCCAAACCATGAAGCAGCAGAAGAAGAAGAAAGCCTTTGTTCGTGTACTCCTTGCACCCTTGAGAGTAGTAATACCAAGACTGCTGTGTATAACTATTGGCACAATGCGCAAAACATCCCACATCTGGAATATGCTCTCACTGAGAAACCAATGCCATCGTTTAAGCTATCAGTTCCTGTCACTTTAGACCTAGTGACCCATTAAGGGAGCATCAGTGCACATCTCTTCAGGCCATAGAGTCAGGGAAAGTGCATTACTGGGAGTTCATAAGGAACTTTTTATGAGGAATGTAGCCGTTAAAGCGGACTCTTTTACTGCACGAGTGCTGCTGAGGGGAGGGAGTTTGCTTGTAACTATATATTAACACTGCTGCTACTGATATCTGTACTACATCGAGGACACTGTCCTGCCTCAATCTGTTCTACACAATTATACTCTTCATGTCCAGAAGAAAGTAAATACAAAACCAGTGCTGATAATGCTGCAAGAGAAATGACAGACTCACAGGTCTGATGGCAGAAATGTTTGCAAAAAATAAAATATAACCTCTTAAATGCTTATAGTGTCTTTAAATCCAAAAACCAACATGCATATAAAGAACAGTATGTATCGTATTATTTGCTCATTAATTAAGATGCCGTTACTTTATGGCTGAAGCATTACATTTAGAAAAAGTATATTAGTTCAGGCTAGCTCTTTCCCCCATTTACAGTCTGCTCATCGCTTATAAGCGAATAAGTGAAATACCAAGAGGTTTCTTTTAAGAAAATGTTATTCACTAGAATTTTAAAATAAAATGTTCTGGGTTTTTAGTGGATTAGGCAGATTTTTAAGAGATGAAGTCAAGGTTTTCTCATCTGTTTTAGCAGAAATCCAGTTGTCTGTGGATTTAGAGTAAGGCTTGTTGTTTGCATGATGTATGTCTCTAACTTGATGAGTAAGAAATCAGGAGGAGTTTTGTGAGCAAGTTTTACCTCTAGCTAGTCAGCTGTAACTGAAGCCTTCAGACTTTCTTCGTCAGCACTCTTCAGCCAAGTCGCCTTCCTTGGAAAGCTTTTGGCCGCTGCTTCTCAGAGCTATAAATCTTACAGTGCATTTATGGGTGTGTTCGAAGCACTGAGCGGTGCTTCAAATGTGTGTGTGCGTGTGTGTGTTTATTTGCACAGCAAGACCCCTGGCCACGAGCAGTTCCTGGAAGCAACGGTTTGTCGTTCTTCTTTTTCCTGGAAAAAGGGAAGATGGAGAATTAGTTTGGCTTTCTTCCCTCCCTATCACCTCTGCAGCTTTCCTGCCTCGAGGCTGCTTCAGATTAGATAATGTGAGAGGAACTTGGCAGTGTGTGCGTGCGTCTCCAGACGGTTGAGATTGTATAAGTGTGCCTAAGCTGGTATGTTTTCGCTCTTGAAATGATTGATCTGTTATTTTGTTTAAACAACACCCTTCAGTATCTGATGTGAGGGTTTGAAATGCGTGTGTGTGCACGTGTCTGAGAAAGAGAGAGCGGTGGGGTGGGGGAGTCATAAAGTCCCACTGCAACAGGGTCAAAGTGTCACCGGTCTCTGAACTTGAAGCTCGGTGTTCCTCGAGAGCAGAGGCATGAATCCACCCTTTGCCTGACCCTCTGAACTCTGTGAAAATGAAACGTCTTCCTTCCCTAAATGATCTGGCCTTTAAAACCCACTGCATGGTTTTTATTGCGCCTTATTATTATTTTTAATCTTTCTTCTTCTTTTTTTTCAGGAAAGCATGGACCGCACTTCCTCTCGTAGAACTGAGGAGCTGATTGTTCCAGGCTTCCAGCGCTCGGCCAATCAGAACTTGCCACATCACCATGGTAACTCTCCTTTCCTCATCCAGCCTACAGTATTTCAGATCTTTTCAGGGATGAATATAAAAAAAACTTCAATGTAAAAAAGGAAATTCTGGGGAAGCATGTTTTTCTAAAAGTATTCTTACTTTAAGAAAATATATCTAACTTGTTGTTAATAAGATATTTCAACTTATATTGGGCTAGATTTAACCAGTATTAAGTTGCAACAATGGTTATCATAAACTCCAGGCAGTGGAGCAAGTACATTTTTCTTATTCTAAAAGTGAAAACACTCACACAACTTCTCATTCAAGAAATCCATGATACCAATTTTAAATTTGTTGTTCACATTTTATAACACAAGGCCATCATTCCTCAATTGCATGATTTTGTTCCACCTGGACCCAAGCAGCTTTAAAACGCGAGGTACTATCATCGGGGAAGCTATAATTCTGTGCCTTGTAAGCAACGGCCATGATCACATGCACTGGCCCTAATATTAATTATTGTATCGGTAAATAAGCCATTTCGTTTGGAAACACTTGGTATTGGTCGATGGCCAGTAATTATTCTTCCCAGGATGCACGATGAAATCTGTTTATCTAACGCCTAAGAACATCAAAATCCTCTTTCAACACAGATAAATAATCATCCGATGTCTGTTTATAAGCTTCATGGTGTGTCTACTCTATACAGTACAATCACTCCGCACTATATGTGAAAGTACGTGATATTTAGATTTATGCATGACATAGTTCTATCCATATTTCACTCATTTCCTTCTTTATGGGATCTCTCCGCGAAAACACATGTTCTCGCCAACTCTTCTTTTCCTAGAAATCCCCTCTCACTTCCTCTATCTTGATCTCCGTCTAGGACATTGTCTCCATTCATCGCTTTAGGCTCTGGTCTTCAGATGGAGGGGTTAAAGGGCGCTTCCACCTTTTTTTGCACTGCTCAGCATTTTTCCCTACGCACACACACACAGACACACACACACACACACACACACACACACACACACACACACACACACACACACACACACACACACACACACGCACACGCACACACACACTTTATTATTTAACTTTTATTCAACCAGATAAAAAAGCATTGAGGTAGAATCTCATTTTCAATGCTGACCAGGCCAAGAAGGCAGCAACGTTACACATAACACAAACATATAAAATATAGAGAACATAACTAAGAAAACAAAAGACGAAAAAGCAGTCACTACATTGTGCACATTAGGACAGTAAGAAAGGTTGCACTACTTATTACTGCAAGAGCAGCTGGTGGTAAGGACTTCAGACAACTTCAACTTAAAACATGCTATTGAGACAAGTGCCCTCAGTTTTAGCTTGATTGAAGGTCATTCCAGGACCAGGACTGATAATAGAAAAGATTCTTTTCCAGCCTAGTCCGCCGGCAGGTACATCTGGACCGTATCCAGGCACTGGATCTGAAAGGTTGTAAGATCACAATTTCCAGCCTCAGTCCGCACGGCAGGTACCTGGAACCGTATCCAGGCACTGGATCTGAGGTTGTAAGAGTCACAAATAGACACACACACACACACACACACACACACACACACACACACACACACACCTGTTGGCCTGTTCCCAATATATTCCAAGAAAACCCTTCAGCTGTCGTGGAAAACCTTGGGAATCCTCTTTGGAAATCTGCCAATTTGTGGAAAGGAGACGGAGTAAACTCTGGCCCTCCAAATGTTCTTTTCGCTCCCTTGGCTCGATGGTTTATTGGATTGTCTGCTCTGCTGATGTTTGCTGGTCAGGCTGCTGCAAGACTGTCAAATATGGCTTCACGTGAACGGGTGTTAGGGTAGTGTTTATATCAGCATGTAGGTCAGTGCCGTGCAGAGGGGAGTTTATGGTATGTAGGCCAAAGGTCTGTGGGGCAGGGGGGGGGGGAGATAGTGTAAGGTATGCAGGTTGATACTGGAGTACAGTGACACAACAGAACATCACAGTGCATCAGAGGGAGGGTTCTCTCGCCTGGAAACACTTTTGCACTTAAATGAATTTGCACTTTATATGACTTGTATAATAGAATATTGACTGCAGCAATTTTATTTCCAGTTTGTGGTAGCTATAAGTTTGATAATGGGAAATGAAGAAGCACTAACTGCAGGATAAGTTGCTGAGTCAGGTTGAAGAAGTCATGCTTATCATAAATATCTCATACACTGCATTGCATACAATCACAATGGCGATTACAGCATATCGAGTGAGTAACTGAGGGTTAGCTACTTAGGTGTTGCACTTCAGTAGAAGTTGCAATACTACGGAAATACTATGTTATACGTTTAAGTCCACCATTCAAAAATGTACTCAAGGAAAAGCTCAAAACAGTACCATCTAAATATACTCAAATTACAAAAAGTTAAAGTATCAATTATGCAGAATAGCCCATTGCATTATCATGTATCCGACAGAACTGGATTTTATTAAGTGACACGTCATTGACGTAAATGTGTTTAATCTATTGCTGAAGGTTAAGGAAGGGCTTATTATCAACATTTTATATACATCTTGGTAACTTAACCTATCATAATACATCATCATTACATTTGGTTTCAGAATAAAAAACCTGCAAAAAAGGCTTAAATAAATGTGGAGTAGCAAAGGGTATAATATTTCCCACTGGATTGTATTGGAGTAGAAATATTAAATGTCTTTCTCTTAACAAATCCACGGTGAAAAACTAAACACAAACACAGTTTAAACGACATAACATGGGACAATGTTTCACATGGAGTAGCATTCATGGCATAAACGATGACAAAGTAAATAACAGGAAATAAAAACAGACACAAAACTTAACTCATTGGCTGCATGCTATGAAAAAGAGGGAGGGCTTACCATAATGTAACACATTTATTATTGTTAGCCTTAGAAAATATACATTATAATTAAATAACAACCATGTAAAGGCTACACTTAAGAGGGTATGAAAGGTGGGGTAGGTCATTTTGGAGAAACCAGCTCGAGTGCGCTAGAATTTGAAAATATACAGCCGGAAAAAATCTGCCACTTCCTTACAGAGCCCCTCCTCGACACACACGAACGCACACATGACCAATGAGGGCACGAGATAAGTTTGTGCACAGATGGAAGGCTGACAGGCAGGTAGGCTATCCAGTTATTATAGCCGGGCCGGCTAAAATGATTGGTTGTGCTTTTTACAGTACTACGGCTTCCACAGATGACATTTTATTATGGATTTTTTGTCAAAGCATTAAGATATTCATTGCTATCGGGATGTTAAGAGCATTCCATGGAATATAACAAAAAGTGTATCTCGAGCCGGTTTCTCAAACTTAATTGTCTTGTTCTGTTGCACTAATGTAGTTGTGATGCTAACTTTTATGAGGTTTTTGTGTATATAATTCCTCTTCTTTGTATTTGCCTCGTTGGCCACTGGGTANCTCAGATATGTAGATCACGTGCAGTTCTTACAACATTATCAAGTGAAATGAATTTGCATGCGCTGAAAGAGGTAACTTTTGTTATTGTGTAGTAACGTAGTAATGTAGTAGTAGTAGTAGTAGTAGTAGTAGTAGTAACGTAGTAACGTAATAGTAGTAGTAGTAGTAATGTAGTAATGTGTGTAAGATGTAAGAAAACGGTGTGTGTATCAATGTTTTATGTGAGGGACTGCAGATGGAAATGAGCTCAAAGCTAAATCTGGCACTGTTACGCTTGACACATCTTAATGTTTTAAGTGTTCATTACTGTGCATTGTCCCTGCCAAATAAACGATTAAATTTAATTAATTAAATTACATTACATTTTTTGTTTTTTTTGTTTTTGGAATTATGAATGAGATGTGTCAGTTCAATTGATGCAAGTAATCCATCAAACGTCTTCAAGGTGACTTGTTCAGCTTTTCTTGCAGCCATCCATCTACCTGATTCCCTGACAATGTGTGTTGTAGAAAACCATTGATTAATGACTTTAGTGAAAAAGCAACAGTCAAAGCTACTGTTTCATTCTGACTCACCAGAGAGACATCACATCACCCTCGATGACGGATGAGCTTTATATTTAGATCATGCCCGGCTCAGGTTACCTGCCCTGATGACATGTTTCTTGACAGACACCATGATGTCAACAGCATTTAGGCCAGCAATATACTCTATCCGATGTTATGTTTTGTTCCTCCAGAGTTGCCCTGCTTCACTTGAATAACGTCGGCCGTCGGCCAGCTAACCAATGAGAGCAGACTGGGCTCTGGTTTCAGACAGAGGGTGAAAAGAGGTGCTGCAGCAAAGGCAGTATGAGAAAAAAAAAGAGCTTTTTGAACACTAAAGCATGGAGACATGTCACAGTAGGAACAAAGTACTAATATGAACCAGAACATTAGCATATAAGACCCCTTTAAGAGTGACTTGTATCACAGAAATGATGAAGAGAGAAAGGCATTACTCCCTTTCCTCCACATCATGTGTGATGATGCAGAGCCAATACCTTACTAGTTTCACTTTCACTTCCCTGCCCATATGGAAAGAAATGTGCTCCATGCGTTGCAAAATATGGTACAGATAATACATTATTGACTACTTGTGTATGCTCATGCATTCATTTAGCTGGAGTATTGTTATTGCACCTAAAGAAGCTTAATTGGCTGAAGGTCCTGCTCTCTTCACTGACCCCGTGCTGCTGTCAGAGATCTATGATTGTAGGCTATCGTGTCCAAGGACAGCGTGTGCTCGTACTGTTTATTCTGGGATATCGCAGGAATGAATTGGCTGCTGCTGTGAATATAAAGTGTATCTGTTGATATGACACAATCTGACACAAATGGTAATAAGTTACTGATTTCAACCATGAAGAGACAGATTGAAGAAGACGATTAGGGCTTTCACCCACACAAAACGCTTTTGTTGTGTGATGCTAGTGCTGCTGCAGTTTATATCAAACATTGCAGTTAGTAAATCGGGAGGAGATTTATTTTAATGCAATATGTCCTCTGGCTTCCCTGACTCACGCCAGCAGTGCATTGTGGGCCAAGCCAGCAAACAGGAGGACGGAGACGAATGCCAATGATCACATCATTATCCTCTTTGAGCTGCACTGGGCTACATTTTCCTGCCAACTTATCAAACTCAAGGACAATGTTTAAATGGCTGCAAGGGAGAAATACCCAGTGTTAAGATGATGGAAGATTTTCTGAGGTGATGAAATGTTGGTTTAAAGGGAAGCCACTTCTTGTGTAAATCTTGTTTGTGCATAGACATACTGGATATACTGTATGTAAACTGTACAGAGAAAGACCTGCCAAAAAATACTAAAGCACATATTTTAAACTACCTCCTCTGCTGTCAGTGCTCATGTTTAAATCCCACAGAGCTGTCTTAAACTGGAGCTATGATAATCTCCCAATAGATATCTTTTAATGTTTTTAAGTTGGAGAAATTACCTTTTTTATTGGTGTGCTTGAGAGAACACCACAAACTGCAAAAAGCAAGATCTCTCTATTATTAATTATTTATCCACAGAGGTTTTATACTTGTACAACTTGCCCTTTTCTATCTATGATGTCTTGACAATGTTAAGTCTCTGGGCTGAGCTGGTGAGGGATTTACATTGATTTCATTGGGCTGCTATCCAGGAAGTAAGACAGAAGCTAGAAGACTTTGATGACTTTTGCAGCAGGGAAGCAATTCCATGGGATTACAAATGTTGTATTTATTAAATAGAAATACTTTGGGAAATATTGCAAGTTATTCTGAAAAAATTCCAACATTTGGAGTTCCTTAATTGTTCTTTTCACAACATTTTAAATGCAAATTAAAACTAATTTAGCATGTTTAGTGGGTCAAATCCAAGTACCTTCACAAAAACAGGTATACTGCTAATTTCCCAACATGTGGTATACTGTTTCTTTTTTGTAGTTTTTTATTAGTTAGTTGCACTGGTTGTCTTAAAAATGTTTCATAATTGCCGCATTTTATCTGATTACCTAAAACCAATTACTTAGAAGACGCTATATTGCAGCTTTTTACATAACAACCATCCCGGCTGTCCTCATATCCTCCCCCCAACCCATGTCCCACTCATGAACCCCAGCATCACATGACCTTGTGTCCCAGACTGTCCTTTCTGTTTGTGTGTGTGTGTGTGTGTGTGTGTGTGTGTGTGTGTGTGTGTGTGTGTGTGTGTGTGTGTGTGTGCATATGTGTAACATAAGAGGAGAGGGCGTACACAGTTTAGCTTGGATGTGATATCAGAGAACACAACCAGTCAGTTTGCGGGTGTTAGTGGTGATGATGAGACTGGCATGTGTGTGTGCGGTGCTAAATAGTGTGTGTGTGTGTGTGTGTGTGTGTGTGTGTGTGTGTGTGTGTGTGTGTGTGTGTGTGTGTGTGTGTGTGTGCGTGCGTGCGTGCGTGCGTGCGTGCGTGCGTGCGTGCGTGCGTGCGTGCGTGCGTGCGTGCGTGCGTGCGTGCGTGTGTGTCATGCATGCCTCTTTTTGCGATCAGAGTGCAGACAGGACGACTCCCGCTGGTTCAGAGGATTCTTTTCCGGTTGGTAGGCTCAGCGTGTATGTTTACTCTGTACAGGACGTACACTGTGTGCTCTTTCTTTGAATTCTGCAGTATAATTACATGCCCATGCTCATCAGCGACACATAGCGTACATGGTGTCCCGGCCTCTGTGTGCATGCGTGTGTGTTTGCGTGTGTTTGTTTCGGTGTCCTACTTTGTTCCCCGAGTGCTGTAATTTCTTCCTGCAGGAATGTCAGGAATTCTGTGTGTGGTGTTGGGTTGGGACGCACATAGGACTAAAGGGCTTTCTATACACACAAACAAAAACACATTGAGACATAGCACACTTGTGAGGACACTTAGTGGAAATACTAAATCTTGCACTTATTCTGGCCTTTACCTAAGATTTATATTCCCTTATCCCTACTAGATGGCCGTGCACATTGGCCTGTAAGAAGTGTACATTTAGTAGCTTCTACAAGATTACTGATATAAAACAACATGTTTAACATTGATCAATCATAATTATGTTGATACTATAATAAGAAAGAGGAAGATGAGTTCATATGTGTTCATATGTGTTGCTATAAGTTTTGGGACCATTATCAAAAATTACCCAAATGTCATTTAAAATTTCTTTTTACATTGCTATCAGCATTCTGGGGGAAAATTGTCAGCATTAAATAAATACAATTATTCTTTAGGGTATAATATTTATATTTATAGCTCCATCAAGAAGTTATCTGAATTTGAGTTTCCTAAAAAACTCAAATTCAGGTCACTAATTAAAGGGGCCCTATTATGCTAATTTTCAGGTTCATATTTGTATTTATTGTCTCTACTGTGACATGCCTCCATCCTCTAATGTTCATAAAGGTCTTTATTTTTCTCATACTGCCTGTGCTGCAGCACCTCTTTTCACCCTCTGTCTGCTCTGATTGGTTAGCTGGCCGCGTAACCGCTGAGATCATGTCCCGCCCCTTAGCCTATCAAGTACAATGTGTTGGTGCGCTAGCCAATAGAAGCGTGAGTGTTACATAGTGATGTCAAAATGTTATGGAAGTAAACAATGGAGTCCAATGGAGGCGTTTCAGGCAGGGAGGTGGGGGGGNGGGGGGGGGGGGGGGGGGGAGTGTGTGGGAGAGAAACTCCCTCTGGAGGGGAACACAGGGATTTCATTCACATGCACACAAATCCATATAAAACATCACAGGAAAGGGAAAATCTCAAAAAGCAAAATAGGGCCTCTTTAAATATAAAAAAAAATAGGTGTATGCTTTGAAAATGCATTTTTGGATGCCTACGAAATTGTGAATAAAGAGTGCAGTCTTCAAGTTCATCTCCATTTGTCCCTGAAGGGCAATTGATTTCCAATCATTAAGTATTAGTCCTGGACTGACTTCAGTTAATTAGTAACAGTTCAGGTTAAAAGACGAGCGCTGACTGGCCAACTTCTTGTCGACCGTCCTGCAAGAGCAGCTCCAGTGACCCCTCCACCTTGTTTTAGTTTGGTTCAGTCTCTGGGTGATTGTTTTCTCCAACTTCTAGTGCTTTAAAGACATCTCAGGCATTTGAATGACAGGTTTGGCATAATCTGACCAATGGCAAAACTGGCGGGTTAGTGTACTACACAGCCATTGGAAGACATCCAAGCCAAAGTGAAATCCAAGTGAGTGATTCTTCACAACAAGGCTGTGTGTTTCCTCTGATCTGGTGCTGGATGGTTCGGGACTACGATGTGCTTCTTGCAATGATTTGACGGTTTTAAATTACGACTAATTAAAGCTGCTCGTGCTGTGGCATTGTCTCAGTGTTTACAGAAGGAGTGAGACAATAAGTTAAAAGGTTGCGCTGTGTGCTCAAAGTTTATCCCTCTATGGACCATGACGTTAATTTTTCCCCATGACAGGATTCTTTTAATAAATAGCATTCACTGTCTGTCTTGAGTACAGAAATACAGGAGATGTCTCATGTGTTTTGTATGTCGTGTGTTACCTTCATATTCGTGAAGACTACTGGGAGAAAACTTGAACAACTGTAACCATTCCTGCTCTTCTGTGCTATTCCATACACTTTGGAACAAACCGATTCAGCTTCATTTAATCCCACTACTAAATCTATGAGGGATGATTTCCAGTGACTATCAGCTGGTTGTACATTTTCAGAATCAGAATCAAGTTTATTATTATTTACAGTACACACAAGGAATTTGCTCTGGTGTATGATGGTGCAAACAAAATAGGAATACAGTATACGTTTAAAGAGCAGGTCAAATATATAACAGAAAATATTGTTTAACAAAATTTAAAAATTACACCAAATTTAAATGTACAAAAGACACAAAGAAAATTGAAAAAACTAAAGAACTTTGTACAGTGAATATATGACAAACTACAGTGTGTGATATTTTAAAGTGGAGGGCTATGCAGACATACAGTATGCGCAGTGATGAAAATGAACATGGCTCAAAGTATCAAAACAAAACACTGATCTAAATTCAAATCTGCTGCCTTGGAGTTTTTACTGTCACTAACGTCTCTCCTCTCCCGACCTGTGTGACCCCCCCCGCCCCACAGAAGACGATGTGGACCTGGAGCAGCTGGTGAACGACATGAACTCCTCCATGGAGAGTGTGTACTCCACGCAGTCGGACACGGCGCTGCTCCTGAACAACAGCCACGCTCCCGCTCCACACCACCACCACCACCACATGCACCCTGCCTTCCCGCGTCACTCTCAGCCCATGCACATCCAGGCCGTCAGGTACACACACATTACCTTACCCCCCACGATACTAGGAAAACAAACGATACTTCACGATTACTGAAGAGGAACATGCTCAAGACCCTCTAGCGTACATTTGACCTGGGATTTAACTATCACTCTTTAATTTGAGGATTGACTGGTTCACAAAGGAAGGCTTGAGTCTAACTTTAATAAATCGCGGGACCCTGTATCTCCGATTTGATGGCAACAATTCATAATGCACTCTTCAGGCCATTGTTGGGGTCAGAGATGATGTTGTTGGCCAGCCTCAATATGTTGTTGTGGTCGCCTGATTCATAGAGTCTCTTAAAAGGTTGCTCTACAGTCTTGGAGCAGACTGTCAACTGATGGAGCAGTTTTGACTTTAACGCAGTAGACAAACACTTGTACCATGTAATATTGCAATACTGTAGAACAGTCAAAATCACACAAGAATGTGCCTACTCGCCTTACAGACCTGAGGTGAACAGTGTTTTCATTCCCTCCAGCCGGCCATGACAGTAGTGTGTGTGTCTCCCTCTGCAGGTGCCTGCAGGAAGAGCATCGGCTGCGTCCAGCCTCCCTGCCCGCCATCCCCAACCCTTTCCCTGAGCTCTGCAGCCCCGCAGGCTCCCCCGTCCTCAGCCCCATACAGACCCCCAACAACCACGTAAGAACACCCTCTCAGCTGCACAGACACACACTCACTGAACAAACACCTGACTGGAGAGGGCAGGTGTGCTCAAGTGTTAGAAGCTACCATGTATTGCTCTTGAAAGTTAAAAAAAAAGGTAATCAACTACTTAATTTGTGAGTGTCATGGAAGGTTTTGGCCTCTTGATTGTGTTAGCTGTCCTTTTTTTGACCATTATCCAAAGAAAGGATGTGTGTGTGTGTGTGTGTGTGTGTGTGTGTGTGTGTGTGTGTGTGTGTGTGTGTGTGTGTGTGTGTGTGTGTGTGTGGAAACCAGCTGACTGGCCTGTTATGTTCAGGTCAGAACAGCACGTGTTGACTTTGGCTGCGTTTACGCCTTTCCTTCTATTGCACAACAGCTCACCCTGGGTTATCTGACTGTGTGTGTGTTATTGTGGAAACATCATTATCAATCACATTCGCAGGCCCGCACACACACATTCAGAGTGACAGACATGTTTTTCTGTGGACGGAGGTGAGCCATGTCTCCAGGATGCTGCAGACTTCCGTAGCGGAGCTGGGAATACGGATGGGAACGTCTGCAGGTCGGATCTCTCTGAACCTCCTGAACCCGTCTGCCGTCTCTGGCAAGACGGGCGCCCATTTCCGGTTCACACGCTTCAACCTTGGCTCCTAACGTCACTTTGTGTATGTGTGTGTGCGTGTGTGTGCCTTCCCCTTCCTTCCCCCTGTAGATCCTCCTGTCCCAGGAATGTTCCATCCCTCGCCAAGACGTTTTCAGGATACCCACCCTAAACAAAAAGTTATTTTAGATGCTCACCCTTTTTTGCGCACTCACACACACAAATTCAGCAGCCAAATTCAAAGACATTTAGTTTTGTAGCAGCTTAAATTTGTATTTCTTCCCATTTTAGCATAAATAATTACTTACAATCATCAAAATAGTTTGCGATATTGTTTCTGTTAACCATCTAATTGTCGACTAGTCCTTGCAGCTCTTATGCACAGATGGCATTATTCAGTTCACGCTGTGATAAGCCAGAGCATTATTTTAAGTTGACATGATCTCACGAGGTCTGGAGTCAGAGAGCAAGATTGCAGTTTGTACAAAAGATCTTTTGTGTGTGTTTGAGAGTGTAAGAGCTGACAAGATGTTGCATCATGTGTCTTTCTGTAGTCTTATGTATCCAATAGGAGAACTTGCTTTAGAGGAGAAATACATCTATTTTGTGTGTTAACTAGTGTATTTAGACGCAGTTTGGTATGTTTTTAAAGCTGATTTGCCTCCATTACATCCAGTACATTTTGCATTTGACATCAATGACTCACTTCAGATATACATCTCAAATGTTAAGTTTATGGCTCAGAGGTATGGCAGCATTTTGCTTCTACTTTACTGCATTTGTCATAGCATGTCACCAGGTTGGAGGAGGCAGGAAATTCTTCAGGACTGCTTAATGGCACAACAACAGGAAGATGGTTGCATTCTTCCAGCACAAACGGCGATAAAACGCTTGCTGGAAGGAGTCAAATCACATGGAAAAAAAATCCCTTCCAAAATTCCACCGTGTTTATCATCGCCAGCAAAGGAGAAAAACCTTTGATCTGAAGAAGCTGAGGAGGCGTCTGGGAAACTGATAAACATGTAGCTGGAGGTGATTTGGATCATGGGAAACGAAAAGCCCCATTGTAAGGAAACATCTTCATTATCATTAAAGAGGCCCTATTGTCCTTTTGGGGGGTTTCCCTTTTCCTGTAGTGTGATTTATAGGTTTTAGTGCATGTAAAAGGTCTGCAGAGACAACAATCCCCGAGCTCCACGAGGGAGTTTCTCCAAAGCACTCCCCCCCCCTGCCTTAAAAACCCCCATTCGACACCTTTGTTTACTTCGAGACGGGACATATTTATATTTTAGCCGTTATTCAATGACAACAGAGCCAGCCAGCTGACCAATCAGAGCAGACTGGGCTCTGGTTTCAGACAGAGGGTGAAAAGAGGTGCTGCAGCACAGGCAGTATGAGAAAAATAAAAAGTGTTTTTAACATTAAAGTATGGAGACATGTCACAGTAGAGGGACTACATACCTTGGTTGCTGATTGGCTAATGGTTAAACAAGCCAAAAAAATCATTATGACATCATAAAGTGGCCAAAATCTGATCAGCTCATTTTCAGACAGGTTTTTATAGAAATGGATCAGAACAAAAAGTGAGCTAATCTTTTTTCCTGAAACTTTCTGAATCTCTTTAGACAGAGGGGACACATGTTGATGCAGAGGAGACATGAGAAAGTGGATTTTGCATAATATGTGACCTTTAACACTAAAAATGCCACATGGAATAAGTGTAGTGGCATGTTCTAGGGGTAGCCTTGTTGGCATTGCTTTAGGCTTTTTATTCAAGAGGTTATTGTTTTCAATATGTTTTTCCATTGTTTGACAAAAAGATACCAAGAAAAATTACTGGCTGTATTTTCCTAGAACTTGGTGGAAGGGTGTGTCGAGGAATAGCTCATTGCATTTTGGAGCAGATCGGAATCATGGGACAAAGTTATTTTTCTTATTTCGTTAAAATTGCGCAATATGGCATTTGGCCTTGGCGAAGGTCTCCGCTTGATGTGTGTCCTTTCATTTAACAATGTTATCATGAATGTGACACATCTTCCTAAACCAGCCCCAGTATTAAATGACCTACTTTTGCTAGATGTGTGTGGAACCATGGTATACTTTAATCCTTTCTAATGCTATGTCCAGTCTGATTTAATGAAACCTTGGCCGATCAAATCACTTAGGCTCAGCAAGATCAGCGTCACACTAACCATGACTTCAGCTCTAGACATCAGGGCCTCTGTTTGCATGCTATCTTGTGTAATGTCATATGATAGCTTACAGAAAGGCTAGTGAAGGATGTGAAGAAGTGGATGCATTATGCAGGTCAGTAATGTTGTCTGAAGAGCACTGAGGACGACTTGCTTATACAACAATGTAGACTTGCAGTGCGTTGGTCTACAGACATAGTTGCTTCGTATTTGCATTGGCATGGTTTTATCATTGGATCTCTCTCCCTCCAGCTGCAGAGATGGAATCTGGACATTCTTCACTAAGCTTCAGTCTTTCTCTCAGCTTACATCACGAGCCATTCAAATGTTGTATGTGCGTGACAGGTTTATGGCCTGCGTTGTGTTTGGTATTATAAATGGATTTGTTCTCAGGACATCATGGACAGACATAGCATGATGATGCATTTCTTATCAGATGAATCAGCGCAATGGATATCTCATTTGCTTCTTTACATGGGGTCTTGTAGCTGCTAATGCCAAATCTTATTCGGTTGTCTGACTGAATTCTGATAGCTTTCCCACGCGAGTTGTAGCCATCTTGCACCATACAGTTCAGTCATGTAACCACGGCTTTCGCAAGGATTTTGTCGGGTCCTGTGTGTCATCGCTGGGGGAATGGATTTGCTTTGGCATGGTGACTGCGGCTGTATCGCAACGGCTGCTTTCATTTGGGGCCAAAGACGCGGCATAGCGAACATCAGAGATGGAAGGAAGGTCCGAAGCAAAAGGCTCTGGTTCAAGACCCCCGTGTTGGCGAGCATCCACCCCGAAGTAGCTTTGAGCAAGACCCTGAACCTCTTCCAGCTCACTGCTCTTAAAACGACCCTGACCTCTGAACTCCCTGTGGAAAAGACAAGAGAGAAAAATGGGTTTTAATGAAAAAAAGAGATGTGAAAGAGTCAGTTTCTCAGGGTTTGTTTTCAGTGTGAGGTCATTGAAATATTGTGAAATTGAACAAGAAATTACAGTCTGATCATTTTGGGTGAGTTTAGGGACAGAAATGTCGGCCTATTAGATTGGTCAAAGTGGTTTTGATTTGACTGTACTATGTATAATGCGGGTTAAAGTTGTCGCGTATTGCTTTCATAAATCCATTCCTACAGAATATATGCTATTGCAGTGTTATAAAAAAGAATTGAAGATTGAAGCTCTGAGTCACACACTCTGTGTTTAGGACTCATACCCCCCCTCTGTCTGTGGTCAGCTGATGAACTTCTGCACGCAATGGTCTGATGACCCACTGCATCAGATCAGGTGTGTGTGTGTGTGTGTGTGTGTGTGTGTGTGTGTGTGTGTGTGTGTGTGTGTGTGTGTGTGTGTGTGTGTGTGTGTGTGTGTGTGTGTGTGTGAGAGAGATATAGAG